AATCTTGTGGCAGCAATAGTGAGAGTCTGTTTGGTATTCAGTAAATGTAAACAAATTTTTTTTTTTTTTCTTAAATACTTATACATTTATTTATTGCATCTTCTCTTACAATGAGACACAATAAGTTTTAAAACCTTATCACTAATTACATAATATTACAAATTTTTATTTTAACTATACATTGCATAAAATAAAATAAAATAAAATAAAATAAGTAAACCTTATATCACGATCCTCACTTAGACTAATGGGTTAAATTTCATTGTAGTGAATGCTAGGTGGTTAATTAAGAAAACAGTTCAACCTTATCAGATTACTTGCAAGAAAGGTACGGTTTTTTAGTTCAAGCTGTTGACTATTAATTAATGGCTGGACGGATTGCTCTGTCAGTTTTTTATTGTATTTTTTTCTTATATTGTCAAATTCAGTTTTAACTAGGGGAATTTATAGATCTCGGTGAATACTTTCATTCTTTATATACCACGGGGCACCAGTGATTTTTCTCAGTATTTTTCACTGAGCTCTTTGTACAATTTCAATATTTGAAGCACTAGCATTGCCAAATAGCTGGATACTATAAGTCCATATTGGTTTTATGATGCTGTTGTACAAGAGTACTTTATACTTTAGGCATAGGGAAGATCTGCTATTAATGAGCCAATATATCTTAGAAGCTTGGGGCTTCATCTGAAGCCATTTTTTTTGGCTTCAATAAGTTTGCGCCAAGTTAGTCGTCTATCTAGGTGAATACCTTAGTACGTTATATTATCTGCTTGTGGTATGGGAATGTAATTTAATAAAATTGTTGGAGATGTACTCCGATTTAGGTAAAGATGATGTGTCTACATTTTAGTTCCTTAATTTTAATTCGCCATTTTATCTGCTTGTGGTATGGGAGTGTAATTTAATAAAATTGTTGGAGATGTACTCCGATTTAAGCTAAAAATGATGTGTCTACATTTTAGTTCGTTAATTTCAATTCGCTATTTTGACAACCATTCTTCCACCCGAGATAAGTGAGATTGAAGTTGGTTTGAAGGTAGCACAACGATTTTGTTTTGACATAAAATAACCGTATCATCCGCAAATGTTGTGGTGACGACTGAGCTACTTTTCGGGATGTGTAAAGTACATACAAGATAGGGCCTCGAACACTTCCTTGTGGAACGCCAGCTTCTATTCGGAAATTATTAGAAGTATATGATTTATATTTAACTTTAAAGCTTCTGTTATGCAGATACGATTCTAAAACTGAGTGGTCATTTGAAAGTAATGAACAACGTATCTTATATAGAAGCCCATTATGCCATACTTTGTCAAAGGCTTGTTTAACATCGAGGAATACCGCAGAACAATATTCTCTGAGCTGAAATGCGTGTCCCTAAAACCAAACTGGTGAGAGGGTATTAGGTTTTGACCGTCAAGGAATGGTTTAAGCTTTAAAAGCAGTGCTCTTTCAAAGAGTTTGGAAAGGCATAGCAGTATGCTTATTGGCCTGTAGGAAGAAGCAAGCGTGTGATTTTTACCTGATTTATGAATTATAATAATCATGGATGTCATGGATGAGTGGGAAAGTCATAATGTCCTGTTGCAGGATTTGGTTGGAACACCTCTTCTAGATATTCAGCAAAAACGTTTTATTTTTCTGCATCGCTTCGCGCCCAGTTTCTGAGAAAGTTTCTTATTGGATCATCGGATTCTATGCGGGAATTTATACTTTTGCTAGCATTCCACAAGGATAAATGGTTTTTGCCATTAGGTTTTGAATTTTGGACATAGGCTTTGTATATAATTAACATATATTGCCTGACTTAGGTTTACTTGCTTAATGCAGATCTAAGTCTGCATTGGGCCTCCTTAAATAAGTTTTTCGATGAAGGGGACCTGGATTTTTGGCATTCGCGCATTAACCTACGTTTTTGTTGAACTAAGTTTTCTATGTCACTATTTATTAGTACTTTATGGGATGTGTAAATTTTGTTGTCTTTAAGAGTGGAGATTTCTGCTGAAATCAGAATTGAGTTTAAAACCGACTGTTGACGAATCAACAAAAAATTAAGAACTAGGTCATGAGTTAATCGCTCACACCTGTTGCTTAATTTCTTGGTTGACGAATCAACAAAATGTAAAAATTAGGTCATAAATAAAGCATTTGCAACTATTGCTTATTAAGCAATTTGTGCGAATTAAGTAATAAGCTATTTTATTTATTGTATGTTTTGCAATTACGGTTGCATTTTATTTTGTATAAAAGAACAAATCAATTTAAATAAAATCAGTTGTTGAAAGTAAATCAACGTCTCACCAATCTTTTATTGTTTCCCCCCACCAGTGGTAAGGGACATAAAGATTGTTAATGAACATTCTTGTTCATTTTTGGCCCTTCGAGCCGGATTTTTGAAATTTCCCCCACCAGTGGTAAGAGTTTCAAATATACCTAACAAAGAGACTTAAGTCTAAGATTGAAGTTAATACAAGCGTACCGAGGCTTTTAACATCGGAGTGAAGTCAATACAAGCGTACCGAGGCTTTTAACATCGGAGTGAAGTTAATACAAGCGTACCGAGGCTTTTAACATCGGAGTGAAGTGAATGCAAACGTACCATCGAAGTGAAACAAGCAGAAGCGTACCGAGGCGCTCAACAAATCAAATCAAATACTAACAGAGGACATCATGGAGATCGAAGAGATAGATCAAGTTATCCAACATCAAAAGGACATTGAAGGTGAGATCCAAAGGATCTGGATAAATTTAAAAAAGGATTCTTCTACAAGATATTCAAAGCAGTATTTTGAGACACGTTTGGAAAATTTGCGTCAGAAATGGGACGCATTTGAAGACAACAATGATAATCTGATCAAGAATTTGAAGCCTGATCATGAATATATCACAAAAAATTACTATGGCCAGTTACAACAAAGACGGAATGAAATAGAAAATCGATTTAATAATGAATTGGAAATAATAAGGCAAATGGAGCAAAAGGAAGCTCAAGTATCAAGGCATCAAGTTATAAGAGGGCAAGAAGAAGCTCGGTCACTAAGGAATCAAGACATAAGTATCAATGATGAAGTCACCATCACCGGGCCATGTGATATTACGAACAAACGTTTAGCAATCTTAAGTAGAAGTCTGTTGCAGATCAAAGAGACAATAGACTTAACGAAAAGTATTGAAACGTTACAGTTCAAATTGGAAAAATTGAAGAATTGTTGGGCAAAGATCTCACAATTAAACGATGAATGTCTGTTTAACAATGATGAAATAGACCAAGGAGATTTTATTCAACTGGAATCGATATACGAAGAAGTATATATCCAGTTACAAGAAGAACTGAACGTTCGCAGTCAAAACGTTTCAGAAACTAGAACAACCGTAAGTAACAATATCAAACTACCACCGTTGAATGTACCAATATTCAATGCCAGATTTGAAGAGTGGTGTCCATTTTGGGAATTGTTCGACCGGTTAGTTCAACAAAACCATAATCTAGTGGAAGTAGAAAGAATGCAGTACTTAAAAGGAAGTCTACGGGGAGAAGCCGCCAGACTTATCAATCATTTAACAATAACAGCGAACAATTACACAGCGGCAGTTGAACTACTGAAACAAAGATACAACAATCCAGCAATACTTGTGGACAATCTTATCAATAAGTTATTGTCGCTCAGAGCTATAAGAAACGAGAATGCACAGGATTTAAAAACAGTAGTGGATTCTTCTAGAGAAATGTTATATGGTATACGTAATTTAAATATGGACACGTCAAGCTGGGATCCACTAATTATACAGATACTGCTTCCAAAATTAGATGGTGAAACCAGAAAATTATACCAACATTCAAGAGGGGCATCAACACAAATACCAAAATTGAGCAGCTTATACGAGTTTATCGAGAGCAGAGTTAGAGGATTGGAGGCAATTCGTGACACAAATCGCGAAAATAAGAATAATTTTCGACCAACAGCAGTAAATACAAAAACGCATGTAAATACAATACATACGCTATGTTTAGTGTGTAGTGGTGATCACCAATTAATTCGATGTTCAAAGTTTCTGAATATGAAGGTGCCGGAACGCCGTGAAAAGATTATGAGCGCCAAATTATGTTTTAATTGCCTTCAGAGTGGGCATTTTAGTAAGTTGTGCTTGAATAAAAAAAGATGTGCAATTTGCGACAAAAAACACCATCAACTTATTCATGAACAAGTTAAGGGCAAACCAACAGTCACAAATAACATAAGTAAACAGAGGATGCCAACATTGAAGAACACCACAGAGACCGAAGTGATAGCGTCGTACAACATCCAAAAGGAAAAAACTGTTTTACTAGCAACAGCAATGGTAATTATAAGGACTAAAAAACAAGTTAAGCCGATACGAGCACTTCTTGATCAAGGATCACAATCTTGTATAATAACAGAACAATTAGCAAGATCAATCAGAACACCATTGACCAATTATCAAACTCATGTAAAAGGTATCAATGGACAAACAACAAGCGTTATAGCCAAATGCTCATTAGAAGTTACCAAAAATCACATCAAAAATGCCAAATGCAGAATTCACGCCAAGGAAATGGTCGCATATTGATGGATTGCAGTTAGCAGATCCTTGGTATGCTGAACCAAAGGAAATACAATTGTTAATCGGGTCGGACGTATTACCAGAAGTGTTTAAAGAAGGATTAATTAAAGGGCCAGACAACTCTCCAATGGCTGAAAACACATTATTTGGATGGATATTATCAGGACCTATAGATGTAGAGCGTACAATCACAAACAAAATAATGTTATGCTCCATGGCTTGCGAAAACAGCGACGAGTATTTAAGACGGTTTTGGGAATTAGAGGAAATTCCAAATGCAGACTTAAGAATAGTAGAAGAAAGGCGTTGTGAGCGACATTATGATTGAACTTGCACCCGCGATAAAACAGGACGATACATCATTAGGTTACCACTGAAAAATGATCGAGAAACGTTAGGTGAATCCAGAAAGATGGCATTAAAACGGTTCTTTTCATTGGAAGAACGATTTAAGAAGAATCCAGCACTAAAGCAAGAGTATGTGAACTTTATGCAAGAGTATATCAAGCTGGGTCATATGAAGGAAGTTAATGAGAAACCAAAGACAAAGGTATATTATTTGCCGCATCATGCAGTTATTAAAGAAGACAGCACGACAACAAAACTTCGAGTGGTTTTTGATGCGTCCGCAAAAAAGACATCAGGACAATCACTGAAAAGTATTATGATGACAGGTCCTACATTACAAAAGGATTTATTCATTCTATTATTACAGTGGAGAATGTTTAAAATAGTTTTTACGGCTGACATTGAAAAAATGTATCGTCAAATACTGATTCATCATAATGATAGAGATCTTCAACGAATTTTATGGAGAAACGATCAGAAAAAACCAATAAAAGAATACAAATTGAGCACGATTACATATGGTACTGCATCAGCACCATATCTTGCCATCAAGACATTGTTTAAGCTAGCAGAAGACGAGAGAATTAATTATCCTCTGGCAAGTGAAATCTTAAATGAAAAATTTTATCTAGACGATTGTTTGGGAGGCGCTAATACGATTAAAGAGTGTAAACAAGTACAAGAAGAGTTAATCCAATTATTGCTGAAGGGAGGTTTTAACTTAAGAAAATGGGCATCAAACGAACCGGAAATGTTGACGAATATCCAGATAAAAGACATTGAACCAGGGTTAGAGATGCAATTTAACAACGACCGAGCGATTAAAATTTTAGGAATAAAATGGTGTCCTAAACTGGATCGATTTGAATTTAAAATAAATACCACGTCATTCAGCTCAAAATACACAAAAAGAGCAATTCTAAGTGATGCTGGAAAACTATTCGATCCATTTGGTTGATTGTCACCTGTAACCATTAAAGCAAAAATTATGATACAAAAATTGTGGATGCTAGGAATTAGTTGGGATACAGAGATCCCACCCAATCCACAGGCACAATGGGAAGAATTTAAATTGAGATTACCTGCAGTTCAGAAAATAACCATGAAAAGATGGACACACCATTCAGAGAATAGTTTAATCGAATTACATGAATTTGCAGATGCGTCAGAAGCAGGATATGCTGCAGTTGTATATACAAAGGTTATCAATGCAGAAAAGGTTACAATATCCCTAGTAGCACCAAAAACCAAAGTTGCACCTATTAAGCAGGTATCATTAGCCCGATTGGAGTTATGTGCAGCTCTGCTATTGATAAAGTTGATTAATTACATTCAGAAGAATAACAAGATTACCTATAGTAAAGTTATTGCATGGTCAGATTCAAAAATTGTATTAAATTGGCTAAGGCAATACCCAAATAGATGGACTACGTTTGTAGCAAACAGAGTATCGTATATTCAGGATACGTTTAAAGAGCAATTTAGATTTGTTCCAGGAAAAGATAATCCAGCAGATATTCCATCAAGGGGAGTATATGGTGACAATCTTATCTCAAATATATTATGGTGGCATGGTCCAAACTGGCTAATAAAAGATGAAGGAAATTGGCCAGAAAATGATGAAGTAATAGATTTGAATCTTATTCCGGAAACCAGAAAATCTGCAATATGTACCGTCGTGGACGTTACCAAAGATGAAAATATTATTAATCGATTTTCTTCATTAAACAAACTTCTTCGAGTGACAGCTTATTGTCTTAGATTCGTTTATAATTGTCATAAAAAGAAATCCGAAAGAAAGATCGACAATTTGTCGGTAGACGATATCGATGCAGCAGAAATTGTGTTGGTGAAGCAGGCACAAAAATGTTTTTCAGATGACATCAGACGGCTTAATCTTCAGAAACAATTATTGAAAAGTAATAAGCTGTGTTCATTAAACCCATTTGTTGACAGTGCAGGAGTACTAAGAGGGGCAGCAGATTAAGAAATGCAGATTTATCTGACAACCAAAAGTATCCAATAATTTTACATACAACGAGTACTTTGGCCAAACTCATAATCAATCAGGCGCATATTAATACGATTCATGGAGGATTAAAACTGACGCTAAACTACGTTCGGGAAAAATTTTGGATTATTCGTGGAACAATCGCTGTGAAAGCTTGCATCAATAAATGTTTAAAATGTTTTCGAATAAAGGCAAAAGCACAATCTCAATTAATGGGAAGTTTACCAACACCAAGAGTAAATTTCTCGAGGCCATTCACACACTGCGGCATAGACTATGCACGGCCATTACACATTAAATGCTCGCAATTCAGGGGAATTAAAACACAAGGCGTATATAGCTATTTTTGTATGTCGGGCAACAAAGGCAATTCACATTGAGTTAACTTCAGGTCTGACATCTCAAGGATTTTTAGCAGCACTCAAACGAATGATAAGCAGACGTGGCTCAGTACATCATATTTATAGCGACAATGGTACCAATTTTACAGGTGCAAACAACACTTTACAGAAGATTCAAATAGAGAATCATCTAGCTGAAACAGGTATACGTTGGCATTTCATCCCTCCTGGCTCACCTCACTTTGGTGGTCTCTGGGAATCGGGAGTAAAATCCATTAAATATCATCTAGCTAGAATTATAGGTGACCAAAAATTGACATACGAGGAATTAAGTACGGTCTTAATTCAAATCGAATGTTGTCTTAATTCACGGCCACTCTGTCCATTAACAGACAACATTGAAGATCCTAATGCACTTACACCAGGACATTTCATTGTGGGATCGTCATTAATGACTCCAGCTCATGATAGTCTTATTAACTTTACAGAAACTAGCCTAAAAAGATGGAAGATTGTGCAGAAAATAAAGCAAGACTTTTGTAAACGGTGGTTCCAAGACTATATAAGAAATATCTTGGAAAACAATAATGACTCATCAATATTGGAAGAAATGGGTCATCGGGGCTACAGCTATAATAATAATCATATTCGTTGGAGTATTATATTACATGTGTTACATTAAACCGAGAATACCATCATCATCAGCCAATAATCATACATCACCGTCCACTTACGATGTCGCTTGGTCTTGCACATAAACAACAACCTCCTGAGGCTACCATATCTAGACCAACCCGTAATACCAACGCAGAGCCGGCATAATGTTGACGAATCAACAAAAAATTAAGAACTAGGTCATGAGTTAATCGCTCACATCTGTTGCTTATTTTCTTGGTTGACGAATCAACAAAATGTGAAAATTAGGTCATAAATAAAGCATTCGCAACTATTGCTTATTAAGCAATTTGTGCGAATTAAGTAATAAGCTATTTTATTTATTGTATGTTTTGCAATTACGGTTGCATTTTATTTTGTATAAAAGAACAAATCAATTTAAATAAAATCAGTTGTTGAAAGTAAATCAACGTCTCACCGATCTTTTATTGTTTCCCCCCACCAGTGGTAAGGGACATAAAGATTGTTAATGAACATTCTTGTTCACCGACGTTGCGTCCTCAATATGAGATTTACACATTATCTTGTGATTTGTGTGCATATATGAACTAATGTACTTTTTATAATTGAGCCAGTTTATTCTAAGACTTGTAAGGCTATAGGAACAGTCATATAACTGAGGACCATTAAGTAAACAAAATATAAGTGGGGAATGGTCAGAAGACAAATCGCAGCTTCTGTATGAGGAGATCAAATTTCTGCTTATGCCTTTGGTCGCGGCGATGTCTATTAGGTCTGGTATTTTATTGTTTTCGGCAGGCCAATATGTTAGCTGCCCAGGAGAGATTACGTCTAGTGCATTTTTCCTATTTGAAATGGAATTAGCCGTGAACCCCAATACGTGTGCTTTGTGTTGTACTCTCCTGCTATAAGAAATATGTCACCTAAAGCTAAGAAGCAATCCATAAATTGGGTCTCAGTAATGTTGAAACGAGGGGGGCAGTAAACTGCCGATAAAGTTAAATTTTTTCCTTTGTGCTTAAGGCATATTGATGTGGCTTGCACATGATTATGAGCATATGTACCTAGAAAATTGTGTTTTAGACGCCTTCGTATCAAAATACCTGTATCACTATGTGCTTTGCCATCTGGGTGATTGGTTTTATAGAACAAATTTTGGTTTGTTAGATGTGTTTCTGAACAAAGCATTACATCCACACTTTCCCGGGTTATGACGTTTATGAGTCAAAATGCATTGGTATGGATTCGTCCCAGGCGAGTTTCTGTAACCACAGCTCTTGTAATAAAATCTTTGCTTTCACAACAATTGGGCACAATATGCCAAGAGAGTCGAATAGACGAGCTGATATTGATAAGATATTTCTTTTTGTTGCACGCAAATTTAGGTAGGTGTCGTCCAGCTGAAACCTAAATACATTTTTTGTGGTATGCCACTGTATGCCTAGTGCTTCTGTTGTATCAATATCGGTTATATTCTATGATTTCTTCAGCTGTTTATTGTCCTGGTAGGTGGAGTGATTTAAGAACCATTTAGCTAACTGGAACCCAGCTGTCTCCAGAATTTGTGTCACTTGCCTTCGAATTATTTCGAGTTTATTAAATGAATCTGCACCTGTCAGCAAGTCATCAACATAGAAATCGGTTCGAATAACATTGGAACCAATTGGAAGCGTTCGTTGATTAAAATCACTTAAATGACGTAAACATCGAGTTGCTAAAAATGGTGCAGACGAAGTTCCATATGTTACAGTGTTCAATTGGTTAGTCTTCAATTCTTCGGTTGGGCTTTTCCTCCACAGAATGACTTGAAAGTCGCGATCTGCCTCGTCAATCAAAACTTCACGGTACATTTTAGTAATGTCAGCAGTTAATGCATATTTATGCATACGGAAACGGAGTAACGTTGTGTATAATTTTTCTTGTATCGTCGGACCCACCAGTAATATGTCGTTTAATGACAGTTGAATTGATATTCTCTAAGCAGCATCGAAAACTACACGAAGTTTTGTTGATATGCTTTGTGGTCTTAATATGCACTGATGTGGTATGAAGTAGTGGGGAGATACAGAGAAGTTACGAGTTGGTAAAGTCATGTGACCTAGATTCACATATTCTTTCATAAAGTCTATATATAAATCATGCAGAGCAGCATCTTTAGAAAGTCTCCGCTCTAGTGACAAGAAACGACACTTACCTGACAGCCCAAGATTGCTGGAATCAGACTTAAAAGGAAGTGAAACTTTGAATCACCCGATGGTAAGCGTCGCACGGACGACAAGAATTTATCCTCGCAAAGTTTGTGCTCAGGTGTGAGCGTGGCGGTTGTTGCACTATTGGGAATTTCTTCAAATCCCAAAATTTTTGCATCAATGAACTGACTACAGTGTCATCATCTTGTGAAACAGTTAAGGCATTAGCATGGAGTTCAATATTTCTATTGCTTTGATATTACCCAGACGCAGTCCAGCTGAATAATGTTTTCTGCAGTGTGGGGAGATTCAGACTTTGTGTTATTTGTCCGACGGATAGAACATCGAAAAACGTTTCTGCACCAAGTCGGTAGAGATATGATGATTTGGTTGGTTGGTGGATATTGTTCGCAATACCCAAAAATCGGCTGAGAATTCATGAGAATTGACTCGCGATCTTACAGTAGCATGTAACTTATGTTTTACTGTGGTATTTATCTCACCAATTCCAATTAAATTAAGGCATCCATCTTCCCTTCTTAACTGCAACAGTTGTGCAAGTTCCTTGGTCATGAAATTTGTTTGAGAACCGGAGTCAAGTAAGGCTCTGGCTATTCGGTACTCTCCAGACTTACTCTTTACAGTAACTAGCGCTGTCGCCAAAACTACTTGGTCGCAATTAGTAGCACAATGATTTGCAAATACGCGATCGGAATCAGAAGTTACAGTTGCGTGATGAATGATTGGAGTGTATTTGTGCAGTAGTGTGTGATGTTGTCTCGCACACACTCTGCAGCATGATGATTTACATGCTGAAACAGAATGCCCTTTTTCTAAACTTTTTAAAAAAAAAAGAGAGTGCAGATGGAAGTGCTGTTAAGATGCTATAATGAAGGAAAATTGTTACGCTTGCGGTGATATTTGCCGCAGTAATTAAATTTTATTTAAGCACTGTCCCTCACCTACACTTCTATTACCTGGCGATCCTTTGGTCTCCTATTGCAGCAACACTCCATTGATTGAAGAATTTGAATGAGCAGCGATGTTGGTGAGACAGCAAACTGGTGAAATTATGTTGCGGTACCAGTACCGTTTATTTAATAAAGAAGATAAACGTGGTCCGTTAAGCACCGTTGCAGCTTTAGGCAGCGATGGTGGTGATATAGCAAATCGGTAAAATTATGTAACGGTACTGGTCCGTAAAGCACCGTTGCGGCTTTGGATAGCGGTGGTGATGATTTTGCGATACGGTGCCAGTACCGTTTATAATCAACAAAAAAAACGTGGACCGTGTGGCAATGAGAACTTAATTTACAAATAAAAACACCCACGATAAGAAACACATTAAAAAAAACACTTTAAAATAGTCCCTGCTCGGGCGCCATGAAGTATTTTAATAGTTTTAAAATTTAATTAAAAAACCGGGATCTTGTATTTTTCTTTTTTAATATTTTAGTTTTTATTCAGAAAGTTCACTTTTTCTATTTCTATGTACCAGAAGTACACAAGTGGCAAAAATTTTTGCTGGGAAGTGTGCAATTTCTACACAGCCAATGCAAAATTTCCGCGTTCCTTTTGAATGGCCTGATGTGTGTAGAAATAAAATTGCTTGAGTTGAGAAGTCCTATTTTATTTAGTGTTCTTGATAATAGTTACAATAAATATTAATTAACATTATTTTATTACAGATTTAATATTTTATTTCCAAATATTATATATTCAATTAAGATATATTTTTCGTATATAATATTTAATTATGTTGGGTTCATGTAAAATAAATGTATTACACATGGTTTCCGTAACGTTTCTTTGAACTCTTGTGTATTTTATAGAACTTGTTTTAGTCTGTAATAATATGATCTTAATCCTATTGACTTTTATATCGAACCTTCGCTTATCGCTGCCGGTTTTTCGTAGATTTAAACTAGATTTTAAGGCGGGTTGGGAACTTAGCACCACGTCACGGCATCCTTTGAGGATTATTGTGAAATATCCACTTTAGTTCCATAGACGAGTAGCAGTTAAGAACACCATTATGTCCTTTGGAGAGATGTTATCTAATTCCGTTATAAGTGGATAGGTAGTGGATAAGTACCGAAGTCTGAGTCAGGCGAGACTATAACAGTAACACAGAATGTGTTCTGCTGTTTCATCTTCTTTGCAACAAAATCTGAAGCTATCGTCTGTAGTAATACCTAGGTTCGATAGATGCTTTTTAACTCCGCAATACCCAGCGAGAAACCCTGTGACAAGTCGGATGCCACTTCTGTTCAGCATAAATAACTCCATAGATGTGTCTTTTGATCATTATGACATGGATTCTCAGGCTTGTTTGCAGTCAATTGTTTTGTCGCAATCAGTCTGAGCTGCTCTTTTCATCCACTCATTAATTTTAAGTTTTAAAAAGCTCCATGAAGGACCGCAGAATGGTTCTGGCCCTTTATAATATAAAGCCGACCGCTTTCTGGCTAGTTCATCTGCTCTTTCGTTATCCTCAAATCCGCTGTGCCCTGGGATTGATATTAAGTGACCATTCTTATTTTCAATGAGGTTTTTAAGAAGTAGAAGGCATTCCTACAGTAGTTTTGAGGTTACTCGAGGTGAGCGTAGTGCTAGGAGTGGTGAATTACTGCCAGAGAAAATATATATGTGTTTTTCCGTGACGGGATTCCCTTTATATTACCTTAGATATAGTTAATTTGCGTATACTTCAGGCCAAAAAACTAATTGCTTTCTTCTTGACAAGTAGGTGAAGTGAAGTGAGCCCCAATGCAACCTCGAGGGCTGTTATCGGGGTCTTTCTCATCGCTCCAATTAACATTATGCAAGCCAATCTCTGTACCTCATGTAGCTTGTC